AACAATCCAAACTAGTCCAAGTAAACGCACTTCCAATTTTCAAACCGTTCAAATAGTTGAAATCATAAGCTTGGATAAATGAATCACTAAAATAATATGAAGAAGAGACAGACATTTATCCTATTCACTGAACAGGATGTAGGTATTCATACCATTTATTTAACAAAGTAGGAATAAATTGCATTTATTCCATCCTTCTTTGTTTAGTACCTCATAACTTCTCGAAAAATGAATTTGCTTAGTTACCTACTTTATATACAAGCTTTCTATTTGTAGCGAAGAAAGCTGTGAATGTTTAACCATGCAACCAAAATACAATCACAAACTCAAACTACTGCCAGCTAACCAACTTGAAAGATTGTATGGCTAACTAAACCCAGGGTTCTATCATTTTGATCGTCCCAAGTTTCCAGGATTCCTTTCAAGACACTTCCCTGATCAGAATGTTATTATACTGAATCCTCATCTCCATGATAGAAAGAAGGTTGGATCTGAATTTAAAACATTTTTTCCAACTAATCCTACTAGAGAAAGTAACCGAACGAACTTTAATGGGAAGGAGGAAAACAAAATAAACCAACCACAATCACGTGCAAGTGAAAAGAAAATACATATTGTTTGGAACAGTACATAGGGAAGCAGCTAATCCTCTTTCCCACGACAGCTGCTAATAACATTTTTTTAAAATTTGTGGGTGTCCGGGATAGCTTGCACGCACCGCGACTAATCTCAAGGACAATTTTCCTAATCCTACATCATTCATTTGGGTGTAAAGGAAACTCGTATGATGACAACACGTAATAACATTATCAGAAATGAATCCTATCATAACTCAGATGTTATCACGAACTTACAATCAACCAGGAGAAAAGCTTTTATTAGAACATAAACTTAGGGAAAGAATATAAGACTAAAATAGCTTTGCCCAAGATTATATATAAAAAGTTAGAACGTAAAAATTCCCCCTAGGAAAATTCTTAGGTCCGCCCCTGATTGACATGATACCGTACTGGGTAATGTGAAGTGAAAACGAAAAAATAAAGCGACATATCATACGAATGCAGGCTCCCCTTCAAATTGTAAATAATTCAAGTGTCCAGTATAACTCCACACTAAGGCTCGTAGCAAGAAAACACATAAACTAACCCTCATCTCGTTATTCTAAGAAGAAGCAATCAAGCTCAAAATCAATGGATAAAAGGGAACAATCAAACGTAAAGAATATAAATCAGTGATGAAAAGGAAGAAACTACAAATGGGAAGGAGCTGGGACCTGCGGAGGAGCTAGGAGGCCAGGATGATAGAGAGACTGCTGCTGAAGAAGAGCTTGCTGCATCAAAGCTTGCTGCTGCTTTAGCCTCTGATGCTGCATTTTTTTGTTTTCTGCCCGCTCGGATTTATGCTCTTAAATTGCAGTAAGTCTAATTTTCCGACAGAGCGAAAGATTAGGGCACTGGTCTGGAACGAAGATCGTGTCAACGACCTCCAGAACGGGGAAGAGAGAGACCTTGAGGAAGTTATGAGTGGCTCCTAAAAGTCACCCACTCAATGGGCCGACCACGCTTATAAAGTGGAGGCCTCAAACCCGGCCCAACTCCAAATCCAACGGGTCTAACCCACCCATTCCTTTCGACTTTGGTCGGATCCGCCTCAACCTACTTTTGACTATGACTTATTCTTCCATTGGGGTCAAACTTGTGTAGTCCCTGAAGTAGCCAATTAAATACTAATATTCTTTTTTTTCTTTAATTTATTCATTTTTATTTTTATTTAACTTATTTTAAAATTTTAGTATTTTTGTATTTGTATTTTGATTATTTTCTTGATGGTATAAAATTTCACTTAGTATTTTTTTTTAATTATTTTTAATACTTACAAAATTATATACTAACTAAAAGTGTGATATCTAAATTTTAAATATATATATATATATATATTTAAAATAGAACTATATAATAATATTTTTATATTTTAGAAGAAAAATATAGTAATTTTGTCATTATATAGGATAAAATATTTTTCTTGTTTGAATAGTTTGAGTATCCGTGTAGGTAATGGGTAGAGAGACACTATTTTCTACCAGAGTTCTTACCTGTGTAATTTTTTATTGATCCAAAATAAATGGATCGGTGGTCATAGGTATCCAAAAACCAATTGCTCGTCTGAGTCCAATAATAGAACTGGACATGTTGAAAGCTTTGGCAAGGTGAGCATGAGTCGAGTTACCTAGCGTACTATTGGTTGCAATGGTCAGCATAATGACCCTCCATGCGGCATATTTGGCAACGAGGTGGTTGACGACCCTGACCTAAATTGGTTTGTTCTCGGTTGGAAGAATTATTGTCGTAGGAATAAGAATGACCTCGTTGGTGGCTACAGAAAGCTCATGGTTAGTGGTTGTAAATGTGGCATGAGTGGAGTCAACAAGACTCTAGGGAGCACGAACAATTCAAAACTTTCAGGATTAGAGACTAAATTTGCTAAACAAGGGAGAGGGGTGAGAGCCATCTGAACAGTAAGATAAGTTGAAAAATTGGTGCCGAGTTCATGAATGAACCAATGCCCTTTATCAATGTTCTCGACGAGTGTGTCAATGGTATGAAACTGGTCACATATTGTTTTGAAAGTACGGGTATACTCAGCAACAGGTTTGGTGTATTGTTTCGAAGTTATCCTTGAATCTCAATTCACAAGCTTTCGAACGATAGTTGAACGTAGTCTCTAACGCAAGACATCATGACCAGCAGAAAGACAAACGATGATAACAATGGCTTCCTCGGTGAGAGAGAAGAGCAGAAGACAAAGAAGTCATTAATTGGCTGCTTTCCACATCAAATATTTGGGGCTTAATGTTGAGTTTGTTGCTAGTTCAAAGCTAGGTGGTGAAACCATAGTTCCATTAATGTAGGCTATTGACTCTTAAACAGTGAGAAGTTAGTTTTTCCACCGAAGTAATTAGAGCAAGAAAACTTGATTGTAATCATATGGATATTATTGCATATTTTTATATATAATTTGCAAAGTAACAATACACGAGTCATTTTTCAACTCTTTGCACGAATTTTGGGCCAGTAGTTAAGTATAACAACACCAACTTTCGATTATAGTACGACAAATATGTAGCACGCTTTCAGCATAAACAAACCAGTCATGTGAGTAAAAATTAGAAATTGACAATGACTTCAATTGTGGGTCCGACCTCCACTTATGTTTTGAGATAAATTTATTTTATAAAATATGTGAGAGAACAAAAAAAACGTTGAAAACATCGTTGGAGAAAGCAATGTAGACAACCATCACATGAAAACTTTTGATGGTAACTCGTAACTAAGTAGACTCCATACGTCCCACGTGAAAAAATGGTGAATTTAAACCTAAATGACAAATTAACTTAATTTAAAAGTTATTTAGGTAGTTACATATTTAGTATATTGTTTTTCCATTTCAAAATTAAGATGCGGAAAAGGCTAGTGTTCATATGATCCGATAACTCCATCAATGCAGATTACCCAACCCAAACTATAAATGATGAGTTAGGTTAGATTTTTTTGAGTTCAGTTAACTTGTATACAAGTGAGATAGTGGTGGGTGTTAGATGAACATGACTGATCAAAGTCCCACATCAACTAATTTAGGAATGATCACAAATTAGATGAACATTTTGGGAAGCCCAAAGCAAAATCATAAGAGTGCTTAAGTTGAAAGTGAACAATATCATACCATTTCTGGAGTACGAACATGTTCAACTAAAGGTGGGGACAAGGGTGGCTCCAATTTTCTCATTCCTAATAGTACTTATAATTAAGTCTTCCTCAACTGGTCTGTTGTTCTGTTGCTTTAAAAAAAAAAACCATAAAATCTGTATTTAAATTCACTGGAAAACAAGAATTTCCTATCCAAAAAATTTTTGTAAGATCAAGATCTAGCTTATCATCAGAATCGATCGTTAATTAAATAATTGAATCGTAACATAAATTGACAAGATGAACATAATAATTCCATAATTATGTAAATGAAACATAGATGTAAAAAAAATTGTTTAAAGTCAACAAATGATGATTTATAATCTGAGAATTAATTACAGAGCAATGTTCATGTTCATATTCCTGGGAGGAGGATAGGAGGATGTCAGAATTTTAAGGTGAAATTAAGCATACGCTTAGCTTATAATTTTGCCTACAAATTCAGATCAAATTGGTTGGAAGATTGCTGGGTTTTCTTGTCATCGCCGTTCTTGAATCTGTAGCTTTCTCCGGTCGGTGTAGAAGAACCAGAATATTGCCGGGAATTCACTTGATATGGTGCTCTGGCTGTAACTCTGAAAAAGCCCACAAAAACAGGGGAAATTTTGTAAATTAAGAAGGAAATTCAAGAGATTTGAGAAAATTTGTGAAATTCAAATGAATTTTAATACCTGTCTTTTCTCTTCTCGAAGAATCGGTGGAGGGAAGCTCTTCTTGCTATGGGTAAATCACCGGAGACTTTGGTCGGAGGTTGTTCTCTGGTCGTGAATGGTTCTGTAACCTTGTCGGATACGACGGTAGCGGCAGATCTGGAAGAGGGCACGATTCCTTTACCGGCCATGGTCATGATCTCCTCCGCCTTCTCTGACGGAAGATCATTGAACACCAGCACTTTTCCGCAGTAAAAAATGGTCATCTGCGTGGCAGACGGCGGCTCCAGCGGTGGTGGAAAAATCCCCACCGCCTCCTTCTCTCCTGGGTTTTCCATGTTTGTCAACAGGTTCATAATCGCCGGCGGCCGAGCCGTCGGAAACTCATCTGAAACAGAGCCATCAAAAGAACAACAAAGTTAGCACCGATCGGCTGCAAATTGGTTTGAATTAGCTAAAGAAATTCAAAACCCAGATAGCTAAAGTACCTTTTGGTTCAATTCTGGGGGTAATTCCAAGGCTTCTCTTCTCCTTCAAGTACTGACTCAAAAGATTACAAGTCTGAGCAAAACTGGACTTCTCCGGTGCCCGACCGGACCTCCGGCAGGCGGCGCTGTCCGACGGGTTATACATGGTGGAATTGTAAGTTGTTTCAGATCTGAAGGGCTCGTGTGTTCAAATTTCTTTAGATACTTGAGAAACTTGCAAACATTGAAGATGACAGGAAGAATATAAAGAAGAGCTGCTGCCTTCCTTGCATTTTCTTATTTTTCTTATTTTATTATTGTTTTATTAATGTCTTTTGGAAATTATTAATTTAATTAATTTATTAAAATTATAGCACGTGTTTTTAAAAAAATTAAATTAAAAAGGGAAAAGAAAAAACAATTATTTTCTGAACACCTTAATTCAAGGGACGAAAGTAGAGGCGGTTTCTCATCAATGCCTCTGTATCTTCACTTATTTACGAAATTGTCCCAAACCTCAATTTTGATAATTACTCCAAAATTTAGGGACCTATTTCTAAATAATTTTCGCCTATTTCATGTAATTGAAAATAAAAATGTGGTACAAAATGAAAATTATTTGGCAGCGGCTTCCGACACTTTCAAGATCCGACAAGTTTGTTATTTAAATTTTAAAATGTGGTAATAAATTAAGTTTTTAAATAGAAAAATGGATTAATAAATTAGAATAGAAAGAGGGCATATGGTGAATAATGAAAAATGGGAGGGTATTTTGGTAATAAAGGAAGAAGCGGTGTGGAAAGCGTGGCGTCAACGAATAGGAAAAGTCAGGGTAGGGTGCTAGCAGCGAAATCCACGGGCACAGGCGGAGGCGGAGGCGTGCCGACAGTGCTGAAAATAAGGAGTGGGTCCCATTATGTTTTTTTTTTTTTTTCCTCTCTTTTTATTATAATTTATTGTTAGTAATTGTTTGAAACGGTCTTACCACGTGTTAAATTTATATTTAACACGTGATAATTTAAAGTTCCAACTCCACCGCCCAACTCGGCGGTTCTCCTCTCTCTCTCTACCTCTCTCTCTCTTCTATTTTTATTTTTACTTTTTTATTTTTTATTTTTTAATATTATTCCATATTTCATTGTCCTATTGCATCATATTCTCTATTCATTTCACTTTCCCTTTCCACATTATTCCATTTTATATATTTTTAAAATTTTAAAATTTTAAACGTTTTATTTTATTTTCAATAACTAAAAAGATAAATTAAATACTTTAGAAAAAAATATATTCATTTATAAGATACCATACCAAAATTTTTTTATTATTATTATTACTACTTCTAATATTAGTATATATTTTAAATTTTATTACCGGTGAAAAATCAAATTGGAAGTAGTTAATATATTAATAGCTAAATAATATTTTTTTAAATAATTATATTCAAAATTTTGGAAGAAAAACAAAGTCAAAATATTAGAATTTGTAAAACAATCGATCCAAATAAAAATTTATAAGGAAAGAAAAAAAAATTATTTAGAAAACCTATTATTCAGAGACCGCTTCTTGTTTACTATTTATATAAATGTGTATTAAAACCCTATTTTTTAGTTTCATTTAATTTTAATTTTTAATATAATTAGTCTCTATAATTATTATCAATTTTCTTAAATCTATCACCTTTCAAATAAAATTTTTATTTCAAAACAATCCTTAATTTGTCGATTTTTTTTCCCTTTTCAATTTCATTTATTTACATTTTTTTCGCTTAATTTTAACCCCTAATTTTTTTTTTATGCTTTTAATATTGTTCATAAATAGAAATTTATGATTTTAATGGTAAATCTGTCGAATAGTTAAAAAATGAAACTTAATTATAAAAATAAAAATAGAATATAATTGGTCTGTATTATGAAGTAGGACACGTTGCACAATATCATTGGAGGGCCTGAAAGAGCTAGCTAGATTGCCGCGGAACATATGAAACACATGGGCGTATTTCATTTTGAGTGGGTCAACTACTTTAAGTTAATTACGAATTTAAATCTCATCAGAGAGAAAAAAAAAATTAAAATAAAGCTATTTGAATATCATTTTTCAAATTTTTTTATTTTCTTTTTAATTAAAAAAGAGTTACACTGGTTCCGATAATAACAATATATACGTCATGATTTATATTTCGTATATCAATAATATATATATTTGCACTTTTTAAATGAATATAGATATACTAATAATATATATGTGATTGAAATACGAACGAATAAATTGTTACTAATCTTACAATAATATTATACTTTGGTGCATATTTGAATGAATATTTATATTCTATTGTAACGTTCTACTTTTTGATAATCTCGAGCAATAAATTGTTATTAATTGACATAAAATTTAAATTGAATCGAACATTTTCTAATTTTAGAAAAGTTAGAAAATAAATATTTAACCAAAAAAGATCGAGCTAATTGAAAAATAGAGTCAACAAAACAAACAAACAAAAAAAAAAAAAATCAAACTCGTGACTCGAGTCTATCTTGACTTCCATAGCAGCATAACTTAGATCTAATTTCACCTCGATCGTGCAATTTATGTTTCGTTGGAAGAAAAAATAGTAATATAAATTACTTTAAAACTTAATATTTATGGTAGATACAATAATTAAATATTTAAAAAATTCAAACCATTGTACTTTAAAATGTAATATTATATAAGTACTCGTTGGACATGTGGATTAATTGTTTTTTATTAATTAATAAAAGAGAATTTTATATTTTGTTAGAATAAGTGACTAAAATCAAGCCACGTAACAACGTTTTTTTTTTTTTCTTCCTTTTATTTATTTTTTAAAAGATAAATTATAAAAAGAATTATTCACTAATCTTAACCCATAAATTTACTTTTCGTATGCATTTAGACTGGTTTACTTTAACCACACATAATTTATTATAATTTAATCCATTATTATTATATATTTTTTAAAAAATCTAAATAGAGATTGAATATTATTGGGTTATAGTCACAAGCATGACACGTAGCAAAATCTCATTGGAGGGGCTGTAAGAGCCAGCTAGATTGACGGGGAGCATGTGAAACTCACGTGCGTGTTTTATTTTTTAATTATTTATTATAATCACCCGTCTCTCTTTTGGGTTTGACCAATAATTCCACCGAAAACATATAAGAAAACAAAAGTTTAAAATAATAATAATAATAGTCAATTAAATTTTAATTTTTTAAAATGTAAATTAGAGAAATGGGAGAATTAAATAAATATTAACGGATTTTTATTAAATCTCAATATTTTTAATATAAATAAATTTTAATTAATTAAAAAGTCGGAATGAAAATATTTATAAAAAATAAATAAATAAATAAATAAAGGAATTATGAATTAAATTGGAGTGGGTGAGATGGGGCAATGCATGAAATCAAAATGGATGGGATTATGAACCTATGAACCTAAACCACTTCTCAATTATTGACTAAAAACACTGCCCGCTCTGCCCCCCACCACCACGATTGCTCTTTCCATAATTAATTCAACACGTTTTTCTTTTCCAATTAATTCTTTTTTTTTTTTTTTTCCTTTTCTTATATTTTTTATATTATATTTCGACAACGCGTTCGGGAGAGAAATAGAACTGGGTTACCAATTCGAATAGAGTTTATAATCTGACACAACTCGTGAGTTTGAGTTGGGTTGAATTGTCGGGTTATTTTTTTTTATTATTTTAAAAAAATATATTAGCTTCTACGATACATATTATATTAATAACTATAATTTTTTAAAATTAAAATATGAAACATTCATAAGTTACCACTTAACTAATATAGATTCTGTAACGACCCTAGATTTTAGCTACCTAAAATTGCTACCGTAGGCGGAAGATAACTCGTAAAACATCATCGGTTAAATAATAAGGTTCATAATAAACCTAAGTGTTCAAAACATAATCCAGAAAACGAAATTGAAAATGATAATTAAATTAAATATGTTTCTATCTTATGCATGTGTTATGGTCTTTGCTTTGTGATGTCATCGTCAAGTATTCATGAGCGTCTTGCCTTTGTTTGAAAAATGATGTAGCATACAGTTTGAGTATTTCGAAAAATACTTAGTAAGTTTTCTCACTAATAGGGGTCGTGAAAAATGCAAATACATGCAATAATGCTCTAGGGTTCTATCATTAAAACATCCTATTGTTGGCCTCTAGTCCGGACTAAGTCAAATGTGTAGTACTTCCCTACACACGACCCACACGTGTAAGCGTGAATCCCTAGGCGGTTCGTACCCTTTGGACCCATCATAGTCAAGCTATCTGTTCGTAGCGACATCCGAATGTCAGCAGATCCCTGAGTATCATGCTCAGCATGATCACCTTCGTCACTATACGCGTCTATACTCATCATCATAAATGGGGAAGTATCTCGGTACTTAAGTACATACAGAAATGCATGAAGTTCTTATAGTTTATCATCTTTAAAACGTTTTTATGACAACCCTAGTTTCATCCTTATATTACTAATAGTAATATATGTGCATTAGTTTCCATCTTAACATTATAAATAACACTTTTGTAGGGTTGTGTCTTAGGCTGAATCATCGACATAATGCAATATGACCTTCACAATATGTATCTCAACGTAACATGGAACATAACGTCATATAAAGAAAATAACAATATGCATCGTCATTGTCATCATCATACTTCGTTATCACAACGCTATCGAAATGCATCATAATCATCATAACACATCATTGTACATCATCATAAAACTCATTCAAATCATCATACTTCATGGATCATACATCATACGTCATAATTATAAAGCATAAAGAACACACGTTGGTGCCGCTAGGCACGTGTCGTCATGCTGCGATCTGGGCTGATAGAGTGGCTGGGCCTCAGTTCGTGGGCTGCAGGCGAGGCGGGTCACGTTGCTGCATGCGCCTGGGCTACTTGTGTGCTCTGGGCCGAATGCTCGGTTTGGACCTCGGGCCGCGGACGAATGGGTGGAAACAGGTACACTCCGAGGCTGGGTTCCAGCGATTGGGCCGAAAGCAGGTGTTGGCTCGAATCAGTGAATTGTAGTGGGTCGTGGGTTTGAGTTCGACCCGGATCCGATGGGTTCGTCTTCTTCGCCCGACTCCCTGCGTTTTTCGATTCCGTTTCTCATCCTTGTTCTTCCCCTACCTCTCTTCTTCACTTCCACGAAGTTTTATGCGTTGAAGACACCCGAAAACATAGATCTATGAACATCTAAGAACCCGAGATTCATCTCTTGTTACCGACGACAACGAACGTTGGTGAGACGCGAAAACGTACCTTATGGGTAGACGTACAACCGTCCGCAATCTCTTTAACGGCACGGTCAGTGCTTAAGAATGGGTTATGGGTCTGCCAAGGCCGTTCAGATTAACCTTGAGTTGCCCAAGCTCATCTTGGTCGGTCCATACATGGGCCACTAAGAGCTCATAAATATAAAAATAAAAGACAATATATATTTAATTTTGAATGGTTGACTGGTTAAATGCATATGGAAATATTTTATTTTATTTAAATATGATTAAATGAAAACATGTATTGGATATAAATCGTACAAAACTGATGAAATGTCGTGTGTCACAACCATATTATGAAGAGAGTAGGTTATGACCCTCACGCCATGATAAACCAGAGTGACTTTACTCAAGAGACGCCCATCCGGCCATATGCAAGCCAAGATAGAAGAGTTTCATGATGCGATCGAAAAGGACGATGCATCATCCAACACAGCACCACGCAAAATGGGCATTGGAGACAAGTTGAGACATAAGCAAGACAGAGACATTAGAATGAACATGAAGGACAAAATAGGCTTTTTGAAGTGCCGGGTAGGGCCCCGGGCCTTAACCTTAAAAGTCGAGATTTCAAAAGGAATTTGGGCATGCGGTTCGGGAGTTTAGTCCGTCCATATAAAATATGAATGCTCACCAAGTTTGGTGTCAATCAGACATCGGATGAACAATGCACGACACCATATGACAACTCACCAAAATCATGTCTACACTACTAGAATGAAAATAACTCAAAATGTAGTATAGGGGTACCTTGGGGTTAGTTCTTCACCACCCCTAGGTCCTGTGGCCTAAGTGAGCTACCCTGTGGCATATACGTGTGTCACAATGTGGGAGAGCGTGTTGAGACGAGAGCATCAGGCAACTTCCTTTGAAATGGGTTTTTAAATGACAGTACCGGGCGGCACGGGTGTGCCGGTATTGCGCCCTAGCTCGCATGTTGGAGGTTGCTACATACACTCGCTATCTTGTACGGTATCCGTAAATGACTCGGCATGGGCAAGGGAGGGTCTATGCCTCGATAGAACTCGGATGGATGGATGCTCGGGAAGTCTCGATTAGATGAACGACACACGGGCCTATTCTCGATGGCATGACCGAGCGAGTTATGATGGCCGAAAACATCCCAAGACTCGGGACGACGCAAAGACATATGGACCCTGTCGATGGGGATCAAGATGACAAGACGAGATGCAACGTTGCATTGAGAGACATTGGCTTGAGCAAAGCCAAGGTCGAGCCGAATGACTTGGCCTAGTATAGAGGTAAGTCGGATGTGTCGCAGATGATTGAACATGCACGAATAGGCAGCGTGTGTGGTTGAAAAAGCTTGGATTTTGCACAAGCGATGTTCGATTAGCGAATACAAACCTCGCCTAAGGTTCGAAGAAGCCACAAAGTCAGGGCGAAAAATATATATGGGGCTTGATTCCTCTTAAGACTAGTTGTGAGCGTGTCAAGATCACGACGTCACACGGTAAAAAATATAGGACCGTAACACCATGCACACAGATGAATAGTCGTCACAAGTAAAATCACAACAGTACAATACTCCGTGCACAGATATGGGATGTCCATCTAGCCCGTGGGACCAAGACCTCGTATGGACCTTCCTACAAGTGGGATGAGAAATTCCTGTTTAAATGGAGAATGGGGGAGAAAGTGAGGAGAGATTTTTGTGTCTTAATTAAATAGGATCGATGACGGAGATTATACGAGTCTTGGCACGTGCACGGCTTCATGCAGGCTAAGGCACAGGCCCATATTAGAAGTGAAATAAGAGGCCCAAAAGAGAAAAGCGAGGCTGAAAGCCCAATAAGAAGAGTCAGTCAGATTAGTAAATATTGTTGGTGTCAGATTGCCAACTCAGACACAGTAATCTGCGTTGAATCATAAAGGCTGAAGTGGATGCACATTACAGCTGGACCCCAAATTATTAGAATCTGCAAATCTTTTTGTACAAACCACAATAATTAATAATTAATAATTAATAATTAATAATTAATAATTTTGTCATTATTATTAATATTAATATTTTCGTAGTGGTCTTCGATAACCTAAACTTCCCTTAATTAATATAAAATCGTGTCCATATTAGCTTCATTTCATAGCCTTAAGCCCCAAGATTAGCTGTGAAGCAACCAACACTTTGCACAACCTTCCAAAAACCAACACTCCCAAATTTTGGTCCTCTAATCACTATCTAATCGCTATCTAATCACTGATCCAACGGTTCGTTATTTATATTTCCTTGTAATCTTCAGTTATACAATCGAAATAATGATGGGTTCTCTGTCCTTATAGAGATGGATACGATAAGATTTATTCATAAATTTCTTTATTTTTTCAATCCAATTTGAGTTGCCCATTAATCATCGGGATATTATTTATATATTGAAAGCAGTAATAATTCTAAGAATTTTCGAAGAGAAAAATAGAGTGTCTCCTACGTTACCTGTGGAAGTATTGACGTAATTTCATAGTGATTCAAATCAAATTACGTATATTAATAAATTAAAATGGATATTTAAAGAATATTTAATGGAGGAGAATGATGGGAATGAAGAGGTTGTCTCATCTTCTTGAGAATCGTAATTAACCGACGCTCTTAACTAAATATTTTCCAGCTCATAAGGCTCTAAGTATCCAATTATTAAATAATTATTAAATAAATAAATAATTAATTTTATTTTATGTGGCGTATTAACTGTCACTCTACATGCACGTGCGAGCATGCGTCCACGTGGATGTCAGTCTAACCTGTCAGATCCTTAATTAATATCATTAAATTCATAATTAAATAATTAACCAAATCAGTTTTTGTTTTGTGGCCAATACAGGTAATAAGGATCTTAGTATAAACTGTGACATTTGGAACTTTCTAGGCCCTTATTTTATTTTATTTTTTATTTACTTTTCAAATAAACAAAAATATTATTTTCGAAATTTAACATTATTATTATTATCTACCTCATTACAAATAACAGATCAAATAAATAAAATAAATTATTTTGACACGTGGCAATACATAGAAAGAGAGTATTTTGAGATCAATATGGGCTTCATAATATGGCCCATTAATTAAATGATGGGCCAGAACAGTGAGCCCATGGCTGGCAATAATTGGAGGATGAGTCAGTTCCCACTTAGAGTCTATGGGCCCACAGAATACCCAAAAAGCCCAGAAGGTAGTCTAAGCTCCACCCCTTTCTTAAAAAAGTTGCAAAAAAAAGGTGATATTTTCTGACATCTTTGAAATCCAACTATTCAATCCAATTATTAAAAATTTCGGTTTAAATTGATTTGAATTTTTAAAAAATAAAAGATTTGTGTTGTACGCATTAATTTATTGGGTTGAGTTAATTTCAGAGAATGACCATAAATTTATAAGTAAAAGAATACATCTCGATATGAAGCATTTTGGGATAGTTCAAAGTAAAGTCGAGAGCTTACGCTCAAAAGTGAACAATATCATACTATTATGGAGATTAAGTAAGATTCTTTTAAACAATTAAAAAAAAAAAAAACAATTGGACCATCCCTATCCTATTTATTTATTTTTATTTTTATATAATTTAGTAATTTTTTAGCCAATTACAAAAACCCTCCATTTATTTGTTGAAATAATAATTAAAAAAATATATAAAAGCATAAGAAAAATGAAATATATAATACATTTGTCTCAAGCACCATTGATTTGCAAATCTATTATTGTTAATAAATTAAGAAAAATATATGTTGGATCCAATAATTGTTCATAATTAAAGTGGAAAAAAAGATGGGTTGTTTTAAAAAATTACACAAAAAAAGAAATAAAAAAAAAGAATTAATTTAGAGGGCAGTAAGAAAGTCAAAATAAAGTCCACAAGCGCTACCTCCTCCTCCTCTTCTTCTTCCCCAATCATCACTCACTTCACGACAAAAGCTTCCGCCATAGCTGTCCTTTCGTTGCCCGCTGAAACAGAAGGAGCTCTCACTCCATCCGCTAAACACTCGCTACCCATATCCTTCTTTCGAACCAATTTTTGTATTCTTGTTTGTTGATGGAGCCGTCTTATCAACTTTCACAAGCGCCTGAGGAGATTATTCTACGCTGGGACTCAGCTGCGCCGGAGGAACTGAAGGATAAGATGATTTTTGACTCCGATAGGGAAGAGATCGACCGATACTTGCAGGCCGTCGATGAAATCCAGAGGTCTATGTCGTCGGCTTCCATTTCCGACGATCAGAACAAAGTCGATTCCACTATGCAGATCGCCATGGCCAGGCTTGAGGATGAGTTCCGTTACATTCTGTCTATTCATACCACTCCAATCGAGGTTGAGTCGCTTACTGATCCGAGTTCCTCTTCTCGCTCCATGTCCACTACTGAGAGTTGTGTATTCGAGGATGAAAACGATGAGGAAGCGGATTCGCATGAAGTTCAGCTTGATTTAAGTAGCAGTAGCAGTCCAAGGTTTGGGTCAAGTGGCCGATCGAGCTATCGGGCGATGAGTAGTATTCGTGAAATTGATCTGATACCTTCGGATGCGATTATCGATCTACGAAGTATTGCTGAGCGGATGATTACGGTGGGGTACCTGCGCGAGTGCATCCAAGTCTATGGCAGTGTGCGAAAGTCCACCTTCGACTCCAGCTTCCGACGTCTCGGAATTGAGAAACTGAGCATTGGAGATATCCAGAGGCTAGATTGGAATGAGCTGGAGATGAAGATCAGAAGGTGGATTAAAGCAGCAAAGGTTTCTATTAGGACCTTGTTTGCCAGTGAGAAGAAGCTCTGCGAGCAAATCTTTTATGGCATAGGGACCGCCATAGACGATGCTTGTTTTATGGAGACTGTAAAGGGTCCCGTGGTTCAGTTGTTCAATTTCGCCGAAGCGATCAGTATAAGCCGCAGATCGCCTGAGAAGCTGTTCAAGATTCTAGACCTCCACGATGCCTTAACGGATTTGATACCCGACATCGATGTGATATTCGATTCAAAATCAGCGGAATATATTCGGATTCAGACGGCGGAGATATTGTCGCGGTTGGCGGAGGCCGTCAGAGGGACTTTGTCGGAGTTTGAAAACGCGGTGATGCGAGATCCGTCTCTGCAGCCGGTTCCCGGTGGGACGCTTCATCCGTTGACAAGGTATGTAATGAACTATGTGAGTCTGATTTCGGACTACAAAGTGACGTTAGACGAGCTCATCGTGTCCAAACCATCGACGGGCTCGAGGTACTCGGCCGACCCCACAACCCCAGATATGGACTTCGCTGAGCTAGAGGGTAAAACGCCATTAGCGCTCCATCTTATATGGAGCATCGTGGTTCTGCAGTTCAATTTGGAGGGAAAGTCCAGGCACTACAGAGACCCTTCTCTAGCTCACCTATTCATTATGAACAACGTTCATTACATTGTTCAGAAGATAAAATTATCCCCAGAATTGCGAGAAATGATCGGAGATGTTTATCTGAAAAGGCTGACCGGGAAGTTCCGACGGGCGGCGACAAACTACGAGAGAACAACGTGGGTGAATGTGCTGTATTGCCTGCGAAACGAAGGGTTGAATGTGGGCGGGAGCTTGTCTTCCGGACCCGCAAAGAGCCTTATTAGAGAAAGATTCAAGACTTTCAATGCCATGTTTGAGGAGGTTCACAGGACACAATCAGCATGGTTGATACCAGACTCTCAGCTGAGGGAGGAGCTTCGCATATCCATAACTGAAAAGTTGATCCCAGCTTACAGGTCGTTTCTTGGCCTCCATGGCCACCACATAGAGAGTGGAAAGCACCCGGAAAATTACATCAAGTACTCGGTCGAGGAACTGGAAAATGCCATCTTGGATTTCTTTGAGGGTTGCTCAGTAACCCATAACTTGAGAAGGAGATCCCACTGATAGATAGAAATAGCATGCTACTCCATTTTCAAGTTACTCAAATTCTTTCAATTTTTGGTGGAGTTTTTGGGATGATATGGTGGTTGCCTTCTTTCTCGTCATCCACTATGAAGCTTCGTCGTTCATCATTCTAGTATTGGGAGTGACCCTGTTCTGCAACTGATCTGCTTTATTTTTCCAATGGAGCTACATCCTCGGCCTGAATTCTCCTGCCTTGTAAGCATGTTACTTGTTTTCTTACCACATTTTTTTCTAAATTTTTTTGTTCATATTGGAATTGTTCTTTGTTTGCTTTTCATTTCTTATTTTGCACATCTAAATTATTTGGCTGTCTCCTTCTAAGCATTCAAGTCGTCTGCACCATGTTGTTTTTTTGTTCTGCACCATGCTGTATTTTTGTTCTAATGTGGAGACATAGTCACTGATAATCTTTCAGTCTAGCATTTTCCCTCTTTTCCAAAACAATTTTAGATGTCTATCACATAGTTTCCAAAACAACTTTGGAAGCCTTTAGAAATAGCAAATGAAGAGCATAAAGTAATATCCCTGCTTTGAACCCAAAACATAGCAACTGATCTCAGCGATGTTGACTGTTTTAGTTAAGTTCCAGATTTCGAATCTGTTAGCAAATAGTTCCACATTAGACACTAGTTGGCTGGAACTTCAGACACTATTCAAAATCCTTTGATGTGGTTGCAGACTGTACTACAATGCTTGTATACTGTTAAGCCATTTCTCATTTAGCCAGCCATAGCTTTTCAGTGAATTGCTTCTGTTTCTTTCATTATTCTGGAGGACTGTTACTTGCCATTCATTGTGGGTAAAAAGAGTATTGTAGGGGCTTTAATTGGTTTACTTAAACTCAATTGGGGCCCAAAAACCTGGGGACATTAAATCGACTTTCCGATCAGATTACCAAATATCCTTAAAACTGAGGGCAATCTGCTTTTCAGTTGACTGACTGAACCGACTTTGGCATTACTTCATTATGTTAATTTGCAGATCAT